AAAAAAAAAGTTTTTAAAGTAAAGAAGAGATGAGAAAAACACATTTTAACTATTTTATGAGGGTTGCACATCCTTGATCACCTTTTTTTGAATAATGGAGACAGTTGAACTCTCATTCAGCAGCCTCGCCCAGTTTTAATGCAACTTAAGGAGAGTTCCAGGTATTTAGCCTGTAATGACGTTGTCCTCTCAACTCACATTAATACGGCATTTTCAATTGCTCAAGACATAAAGACACAGGAATATTTATTTGTAACATGTAATGCACGTTACATAGTGTTACATAGTAACATGCATTACAACAAAACAAAAAAACAGCAGCCTTCCTTTACTTGACTTCCTTTAATATGTCAAATCAATATTCCGTGGTGTTAATACCAGTGTTTGGAATGCCACAAATACAACTACCCAGCTGCTGAGCAATCGGTGATAATTGCAAGTTTTATCATCATATAACAAAGGTTATAAAAACCGGTTCTAATTTTGTGTGTCCAAATACATTTTAAAAAGTTGTCTCATATATTGGAATATAGTACTTTTAAATCTCCAAATACTGGTATCCATAATCCATTAAAAATCCTATAGCTGTCAGCTGTAATTACTTTTAATCTTTAATCGTGCAAAGGAAGTAGAAAATATGGCAGTGGAATGGCGAACTGTGTTTCTTTCAGTTTACAACACAAAGAGGATGAACAGGTCAGGTAAATTAAAAAAGAACCTAAAACAAAACCAAAAAACAAATGAATAAATAATAAAAGTTCTTCACTTTTTTCATTTTGTAAATCTGGATCATCAGAGCAGAGCATTGTAATTACCTTAATTTCTTATTACTTCTCTGAAGTCAACAAAAAACTGAAAATTTTGTCATCATAATGCCGAAAATTATAACGTCATCAACAGAAATGATTTTTGCTTTTTGATCTTTAATACCATCACCCAGTTTGTGCAGCACATGACATTTTTTCAGAAGCCAAATAACAGCCAGATCTTACAAGTCCACAAAATCTATTTCTCATTGTCAGACAAAAGACAAATTAATCACACAAAGACCTTTAATCGGGTTTGGGGCGTTTATTTTTAGGTGAAATGAAATATTTGCTTTAAATATAAAACTCAATGTCTTCATTTATGGTAAAACCAGGTTGAAATATTTAGGCATGCTATGTCTTAGAAAGTGTTACGATTACTTTGACACTTCTTTTATTAAGTGAATGCATTAACTATAGGAGATCTAATTTTATGGTATGATGTAGCCATAGTAAAATTTTAGGAACTCAAGAAAAACATGTTTTTTCTTATTGCAAACGACAGTCCTACTTAGATGGTGAGTCAAGATAACCCCATAGGTTTATTTGTGTTAAATCGACTATAACAATGATGATGAGTGATGAAAGTAGGCCTGTAAGTAGAATAAAAAAGGTAACACATTCTCTCTGGTTACAAAAGCCTAGTTACACACCAAAGCTTGACAAACAAACCTGGATGACATTTCACCTCACTTTACATAATGTAGAAACTGAGGCCACTTGGGTATAACATGGGTGTTTATCTGTACTTAGAGAGCTATAAAAAGTCTAAGCTGGATGAAATTCCTCTCTCCTTACCTTTGTATACCTTTGTATGAACTCTTCTTGTTTATCCATTGTCCAAGAAGAGTATAGAATGCCTACAATGTTTCTAGAAAAAGTATATTGTTGCATATGCTACTTTAAATAGTTATGGGCAGTTCCCATAATTTCCTTTTCATTGCCTTTACAGGTTTTCACTTCTGTGGCTGTTCAGTCTATTTGCAGTGCTGGATTACTGTGGTGCAGGTATCAGACTTCTGCATAATACTTTCAGGTGACACATGATCAGGTGCATCTTCTTTCAAGCTCATTTCTTGTCTTTATGTCTTTTCAGTTGATCTGAGGGACTGTGAGGAAGCAGGCAGCAAATGTAACCCCAACGCTGACTGTATAAGGATCAGTAGCACCTTTACCTGTGTGTGTAGCATGGGCTACCAGGGCGATGGTCTGACGTGCAGCGACATCGACGAATGTGGCAGTGGCCTGAACAACTGCCACAAACAGGCAGACTGCACCAATACCTTAGGCAGCTATAACTGTGTCTGCCGCAGTGGATACACTGGAGATGGTACAACCTGCCAGGACGTAGATGAGTGTCAAAGAGACAACGGGGGTTGCAATGAATATGCCCTCTGTACTAACTTTGAGGGAGGACGAAAATGCCAGTGTAAAAGTGGCTTTAGTGGTAACGGCTTTCAGTGTACTGATATGAATGAATGCACAATACCGAATATTTGCCATTGGAACGCCACCTGCACCAACACCCCAGGGTCTCACGTCTGTACCTGTAATCCTGGTTATAAGGGCAATGGAAAGTACCTGTGTCTGGATGTAGATGAATGCTCAGAGACTCCTAATGTGTGTCCTTCTGGACGTGCCTACAGAGGTTGTAGAAACCTGCCTGGATCCTACAGTTGTGTATGCAACCCTGGCTTTGAAAATATTGGAAACAATTGTGTGGACATCGATGAATGTGCCGCTAGGACTTGCAGCCGTTTTGCAGATTGTGAAAACAGCTTAGGGTCATACATGTGTACTTGCAAAAGTGGCTTTGCTGGAAATGGGCTGACATGCGTAGACATAAACGAATGCAATGGAAACAATGAATGTGACCCCAGGGCGGTGTGCATCAACAGGATGGGCAGTTATGAGTGCTCTTGTCCAGTTGGTTTTCTTGGAAACGGAAGACAGTGTAACGACATAAATGAGTGTGAAAGAACTAACATCTGCTCTTCTACCACTACCTGTGTGAACACTGGTGGCTCGTACTACTGTGACTGTGGCCGCGGCTTTATCTTTAATAACTCCCAGTGCGTTGATGTGGATGAGTGCGTGCCCGGCCGCTGCAGCCCCTACGCAACCTGCACGAATTTACCTGGGTCCTTCTCTTGTCAGTGCTTGGAGGGATACAGGGGGAACGGTTTTACCTGTGAGGATGTGGATGAATGCTCGCAGGCTAAGCAGTGCCACACCAGTGCTCTGTGCATTAACCTTCCAGGCTCCTACAACTGTACTTGTCAGGTGGGTTATTCTGGAGATGGGATACAGCAATGCAGGGATATAAATGAGTGTTTGGTGGATAACGGAGGTTGCAGAAACAAAGCTACGTGTGTCAACAATCAGGGATCCTTTTCATGCCTGTGTCAGCCTGGCTACGTCTTGATTAACCGTACTCTTTGCCAGGATATAAATGAGTGCAAGGAATTGAACAATCCCTGTGGCGTGAATGAAGAGTGCAATAACACCGATGGGGCGTACCAGTGCCCATGCTGGGTTGGGTACTACCGCCCTGGTAGCAACATGAATTGCATCGATATTGATGAGTGTAAAGACAACCTATGTCATGTTCATGCCACGTGTATCAACACGCAAGGCTCATACACCTGCACCTGCAAGAGTGGCTTTGTAGCAAACGGCACTCAGTGCGTGGATGCAGACGAGTGTTCTCAGAAGGATGTATGCCACGCACGAGCAAACTGCACTAACCTAATAGGGAACTTCTTATGCACTTGTCAGGAGGGTTTCAGGGGCGATGGCTTCTTCTGTCAGGACGTGGACGAATGCTCCATCTCTAATACAACCTGCCCCGCTTTCTCAACATGTATCAACTCGGCCGGTTCTCACGTCTGCTCATGTTTGAATGGTACAGTGGCCTTTAATAACACTTGTGTGCCACCCAGCCCACTGTGTGACCCTGCGTGCCACAGTCGCGGCCTGTGCCACCGTTCACCAACTGGACACCAGTGCGTTTGTGACCTGGGCTACACGGGTAATGGACTGACTTGCTCCGACATAGACGAGTGCCAGAGGGAAAATGTTTGTCCTCAAAATGAAATGGAGTGTAAAAATATCCCAGGATCATTTTCCTGTACCTGCAAACAGGGCTACACTCTCAGTGGAACTCAGTGTGTCGGTAAAACAAACTTTTCATATGTCTCACAATTACTCTGTCAAGGCATGTTTAACACTTTATTATAAAGTTAAAAAACCAAAATTCTCAATAATATAAATGCGTATCTCTCATATACGGTTTGATTGGGCTTTTTATTCAAACTGTTTAAGAAACCAGGCTTAATACTGATTAACAAACCACTCGCTCTTCCTGGATCCAGAATAATGAGTTACTTCATTTATAGTATTCATTTCCTAATATTTGTTTTAACCTCCTAGGACCTGGCTTCCAATGTGGAATCACATTTTGGGTTGTCTAGACTAAAATACAAAATTTTGCTCTACAAGGGCCTGATATACACTTACGACCAGTGTTGGTCAAGTTACTTGAAAAAAGTAATCAGTAACTAATTACTGATTGCTTCCCCAAAAAAGTAATCCCGTTACTTTACTGATTACTTATTTTTAAAAGTAATTAATTACTTAGTTACTTTTTAAAAACAC